TTTGATTTTAATTAAATTGTCTTACCCTAAATTTCTTCTTGGAATTAGAGTTTGACTCTAATTTGCTATTTAATTAAAATTTGATTTTAATTAAATCAATTCACCCTAAAATTTGTTCCAATTAGAGTTGAATTCTAATTTGGTATTTAATTAAAATTTTGATTTTATTTAAATTCACTCGCCCTAAATATTGAAATTAGAGTTAGACTCTAGTTTTGTTATTTAATTGAAATTTGATTTAATTAAATTTAACCGCCTTAAATTTTGAAATCAGAGTCTGACTCTAATTTGATATTTGATTAAAATTTGATTTTAATTAAATTATCCTGCTCTATAATTGTTGAATTAGAGTTGGACTCTAATTCAGTATTTAATTAAAATTTGATTTTAATTAAATATGCTCGCTAATTAAATAATTGATTAATTAATTATTTAATTGTTTCGATCTATTTGTCTAAAAAAAAGGATTAGACGACCTTAATTGCTAAAAACTTGAAACATGTTTGCATATAATATTAGATATTATATAAGAATACATTTATATGATAAATGTATTATTAGTGGATGATTATGGACTCGACTCTATGGATGTGTTAATGGTTAATTTTATTCTTGTCATGTTTTGGGCTTGCAAGCTCATTATTATTGTTATTATTGTGGGTCTGCGAGCTGTTAATCATTTTGGACCTGCGAGTCCATTATTATTATTATTACTATGGGTCTACGAGTCCAATTTCATTTAAGCTTGCGTGCCAACTAATATAGGATGTAGGTTGCAGCTGGACTAATTGAAGAAACAAGAACATGAGGAGACCATGGAGATGGTGCATTGATAGTGTTCAATGCTATACTCCCTAAGAATTGACCAACTAATCTTCCTTATAGCTCGGGAAGACTAGATAGTAAAAATCCATAATCATCCATACTATTATATTATGTTATATATATTTATTTGTATGGTAGATGTATAATAAAATATATATTATTGTTACGATGAAACCTTTGAATGCAAAATCCCTCCATAAAATATTAAGTCACATTTATAATCGCCTTCCATCATTATAGTGAAAAATCAGAGTCCAAAATCGTCTCAACTTATTGAGTACACTTAAGGCTGGTCTGTTAGGAATATGTTTGACACTATGAAATATTTACTATTTCTGAATGACGGGTTTGATTTAATTAAAATTTATCTTTTGTTGAGTACACTCAATGAGATAAATTTTCAGGCATGTTAAGCTAACACATAAGATGTGTGAAAATAAAGAGTTGTTAGCTTAATGATCTAGTAGTTGTATGGAAATATAATTGATAATAGTATCTACCCAAATGTTATATTAAGGCTTGTTGAGTATGCTCAAGGTCTTAATATAATAGATGAGATCCTAGCCCATTGAAAGTCAAGTATGAATTCTATAAATTTATGTGAGAGGGTCATAGATTTTAGTTAAACAGTGGGAGTATAATTAATTTAATAAAAGCTCATGTTAAATTCATTGATGCATTTTATATATTATTTATTTTCTTTTCGTCATTTACATTGAATCTTAAGTAACCGTATGTTTTGAATGGCATACTAGATGCCAACAACCAAACCAGATTTTCTTAATTGACACCGCAATTTGAGAATTGTTCTCATGCATGAGAAAATTGGTATGCATGAGAAAATTGGTCACGTCCTTGAGTAGCATTTTCCAGAGACACCTGCTGATGACTCAATTAAAGAAGAGGTGGCGACTATAATAAACACAGTGATGACGATAGTACTGCAACATATGTGATGTTTGCATTAGGTCACCTGAGTTACAAAAGTAACTTAAGAGTATAGATGTTGACGTATGATTTTTCATTTCAAAGAGATTGTATGATAATAATCATGTGTGAAAAGGATGTGAGACTTCCAAGCAACTATACCGATGCAAAATGACTGAGCGATCTTCAATCAGTGCTAAGGTACTAAAGGTGATTGACGTTGAGAAGTGTCTCAATTAAGTTCAATCATGAATCTTGAACTAAGTATTGACTTTGTTCTGCAATTTCTTTCGGAAAGAGCTATTCGCAACTAATTATGAATTATGATATGAATAAACTCAAATGCATACTCATTAAATTGCTTAACATGTTTAGGACTTTTATGCCCAATAACAAAGTTAGAAGCGGGCAAGTCATTGATTCTTCCAAGGATATTAAGAGGAAGTCTAAAAGGGCTCTGAGAAAGCACCCAATATCGTTGAAACAGTCTAAGCGAAGGACAATACCAAATCTAATGACCCTTGGTGTCATTATAGAATGAAAGGTCATTGAATGAATATTACGTGGCTTACGTCTACTTCATGACTTTCTTAGGTATTTGATACGAGATGTAGCTCTCATATTTATATAAATATGAAGAAACTAAATAGAATTAGACCACTGCAAGTGGGAGAAGTTAATCTACACGTTGAAGATAAGGAACAATTGCTGTATTGTTTGTAGGAGCATACTTCTTGCCATTGCCTTTTGGTTTAGTATTGGAATTAGAGAAATATCGCTTTGTACCCAATAGTTGGAACATTAAAATGAATTTCATGTTTGAACATGGACTATTTTAATATTAAGGACAATTGTTGTTCTTGTTTATCTTGATAAAGATCCTAATGGCTATAATAAATTACAAAATGAC